AGAGAAGGAAAAGAGAAAACTCAAATGGAATTGCTGAAGCGTAATGGCCACCAACCCCGTGCCTGTCCTGAGACTGGAAAAACAAAACTTTAATGAAGACAGAGAAATCCAGAAAAGACAAGAAAAGTTGGTGAAAAGAGCAAGAGGAAAGCTGCGGAAGAAACCGTGCCTACGCAGCACAAGATAAAATGGATTGGAGGTCTCTGTCCAGGCCATCGGCCTCTGAGAGCCCACATTCTCTGAGGGCGAGAGGAAGCTGTCCCCAGACATGACCCCAAACGGATAGAAAGCCGCTTTTCATGAATTCCAGGGTAGAGACCTGCGCGAGCAGACCAGGCAGGTGCCCGGAAAGCTACGAATAGCGTTTGGTGAATAAACGGAAATGCTTCTGGTTTTGTGAAAGAAATTTTCTTGGGGACAGGAAACGGAGTGAAGTGGTTGATGCACCTCCTCCGTGAGGACAGTGAGCCTGACCTCCTGCCGGCCTCGATTCGCCCTGACTGCTGAGAGTTTTGCTCGACTTGCTTCTCAGAGTTCAAAGCAGCTCTTGAAGAAAAGACGTCAGAGTCTGAACCATCTTTGGCAGATCGGGAAAGCGCGACTCGGGGAGAACTGCCGGGGTCATCTGATTCTCGAGGGAGTCTATCTTAGAGAGGCCAGGAGAGGGGAGGGGAAAGCAGAAGAAGAAAGAGTAAAAGGAAGACAAAAAAATGCAAAGCGTTCATCCTGACAAAATGGCTGATGTTTTACATGACAAAGAAAAAGAGGATGTACTGCGGGCTGTCAGCAGAGTGGCGCAGCGGAAGCGTGCTGGGCCCATAACCCAGAGGTCGATGGATCGAAACCATCCTCTGCTAAAGGACGTTTTTGAGTAAGCAGGCTCTCTGAGTCGAGGGAGAGAAATGGCTGACACTTGCTCTCCTAAATAAATATTCCTTTCTGAGGCTGTTGTACTTCATTTGTAGAAAAGCTGGGCGTTCTTCTTTCTCAGACTGTTTGCAATGCTCCCTTCTCATTCATTTCAAAACACAAGCAAATCTTACTTGGGAAGAGGAAAGTGACAAATTCCACACTTACTTTCCACAAACTAACCTGTCTTACAGTGAACAGAATATATACTGAGGTAGAATATGATTTTATATTTTCTTGCGCTCAAAGAACGAACACTTACTGACTTTTGCTTGAGACTACTGGTTACTGTAAATCTCTATTGCCTGTTTACTTGGGTGGAGTCTCCTGTTCCTTCCATTCTTTTGTTCATTCCTATGCATGATCCTTTTGTTCATTCCTATTTATGATTTATTCCTATGCATGAATTTATTAAATTCCTTTCTAATTAATGTGCATGTGCTGTGAATTCTTCTCTTTAGTAATCTATGTTACAATAGCCAAGAAGACATCTTTTATGCCCACCTCCCTCCGTACTTACATAAACTAGATTCATGGGAATATTATGAGAAAAACAAGAAGCAAAGAAGTTAACTGTGAAATGGTAGAAAACATTGGAATACATTAAAATAAAACATTTTATGCATCGGAATTTCATGGACAAACTCAGAAGAAAAATACAAGTCATACTGATATATTTGCAAAAGAAATTGAGAGAAAATTACTAATGAAAATACTTTGTAACCAGTGCATATATTATGACAAGAAAATACAAACTCCCCTAAACAATAAGAATTTATAGAACAAAATATCAATAGGAAAAATATTAATAAAAATGTGCGTGAGATGGACCTGTTTTGTTGCTTTACTTTTTTTGCTGGTGAATATGTTCTTGTATAAAGATCCCTGAGACCAACAATCTTCAAATTATTTTGCCTGCTTACCCCGCAAAACATTTTAACTAACTTTAAATGTCTAGGCATAGGAGACTGATTGAATAAACTATGACATAAGGAACTACAAAAGAAATATGGAGTGATTTCAAGGAAATACTGTTAAATGGGGAGGGGAAAGTACAGATGAGAATTATAGTCTGCAACCCATTTTTCTAGAAAAGGGAATTAGGAAAAAAAAAACACATACCTGTTTTTCTGAAAAGAAAACATAGAAAGCATAAACTAGAAAACAGTGAAACTGGTTACCTAAAAGGGTGGTAATAGTTTTGCTTCTCTGAGTGTACTTTTTGGTATACCTGTAAATTTTGAAAGCATGTGAATGTTCTACATTTTCAAAAATGAATATTAAGTGAACAGGGATAGAAAGTGGGAGGAAAAAAATAAAACTAAAGTAATAAACTCAATTTTATTCTATATTATGACTACATGGAAAGGCAAAGAACAAAATTTGTGAACAGGGAATTTGACAATATGCCCTCACTCTTGGCTAAAGGGGTGAGAATGGCAGGTGAGGGAGAACTGCAAACAAATCTTTAACTCTTTAGTAGGTGATTTTTGGTAATGGATGGGCAAGGCAATTCTGAAACTATTGTAGGTGTATTATAGGATACAGTGAGTAAATAATGCTGATATTGTTGGGACTAGAGGGTTCAGTGTGAAAGAAGGGTCACATATAAATATAGAATTGAGAAATGCAAGAAAGAATCTTGCAGAGATGGATTGAAGTATGGGTGTGTGCTCATGATTTCTGAAATTTATATATGTATGTATATAGGTATCTATACACACACGTGTTTGTATGTGTGTATACATGCACACACATTTCCTAGGTCTTCCCACTAAAAGGATCAAGATGCAGACATCATAGAAACAATTAGTACATGAAGCCTCCAGGTATTGGTCTCTAATACTGTTCTCTACTGAAAGGAATCAGGCTATCAGTGAGAAATGGAGCAGGGTAGATGCAAGTCAAGTCTGGAACAACTTGTTATGTCAGAAAGTAAAAAAGTGCTTAAACAAATTATGGTGCCACATTACAAGGACCCAGAAGTCAGCTTGAAGAGGTTCCCCTGCTTAACTATGGGTTAATATGAACATCAGTATAATTAAGGATAATGATGAATTGTAAACTGTTGGTAAAAAAAAAAAAAAGATTCCATGAATCCATATCAATGATAGATATTTAAGTAAATGGAAAAAAGGGGAGGAATCTTGCTTAAATAGAGCATTGAGTGCAGACTGGTGAGAAGGGAAGGCTCCAGGGAGCCACTCACACTTTGGTGCTGCCCTAACCTGCTACATCTCCACGTTTAGCTCTCACTCTTGACTTCCACGCCCCAGCTGTGGTGAAATTCTTTTCTCCGCAGTCTCCACAATCTCCTCATTTTCTACCCACAGCACTCTTTAGCCCTCCCATCTCCCCTCACTTCACCTGACTTAGTTCTCTACTCATTCCTCAGGTTCCAACTTAGACCTTATATACCTTCCTTCTAACTGAGGCTTCCCTGGCTTCCTTTGGGCTTAGCTTCCCCCATCTGTTTCCTCAGCACCCAAATTGCCAATCACATATTTTAGTTGCTTGTTCAATAATATCTCCCACCTACCCTCTAGCAAGACCCTCCAGTGCAGGGAGTGATCCTGAGGCCTTGCTCTCCTTTGAGTCCCCACTGCTTAATACAATGCCTAGGTCAGGATAAGAGTTCATAAACACTTGTTGGGAGCATGACCTTTAATTTACCCTGCTTTGATCTTCACCAGAACCCAGGATGACTAAGTTTCACCTTTTGTCCCAAGTCTGTCTGCTGTGATTGTCCCCAGATTTCTCCTTCTCATTCTTCCTTCCTCACTGATCACAAGCACATGTTTGGTCCTGATTAAAACAGAAGGGCTGTGAAGCCATCGAAAAAGGGGCATTTGTTTGCCTGGTGGGGATTGAATTCATCATGGAGAAAAAGGCATCTGTTCACTGCCCTCTTGGCCAGTGGCCTCTGGAGAAAGAGACCCACACTTGTCATTGTGCTTAGTTGTACACAGCCAGATTTCTCCTTCTCATTCTTCCTTCCTCACTGATCACAAGCACATGTTTGGTCCTGATTCAAACAGAAGGGCTGTGAAGCCATCGAAAAAGGGGCATTTGTTTGCCTGGTGGGGATTGAATTCATCATGGAGAAAAAGGCATCTGTTCACTGCCCTCTTGGCCAGTGGCCTCTGGAGAAAGAGACCCACACTTGTCATTGTGCTTAGTTGTACACAGTTAGCTGTTAACTGCCGGGCTCATCTTCCAGTTCAGTGCCCAGTACTTGGAAGGAGTTTCTAAAAGTCTGTGGAAATGAATGGAACATTTTGAGACCTCATCCACAGGAAGCAAGGATTTACACTGAATTTGCTCACCATGCTGAAGCCATTTCATTTTCGAGGTTGCACAAAGGAGAGCTTGTTCTCTCAGAGGCCCCCGAGTCCTGTCCATTTCTCAGGCTGCATTCTGCTGTTGTCGTCGCCGCTTTGCTCGTGAGTGGGTGTGCTGAGGGTCTGGAAGGTACCTGGCCCTGGCGGTGCAGGTAGATTGTCTCTCTGCAAAGCGCAGCTTGCCAGATCGCAGGCGCACGTCCTTGCGTGGGCTGCGGGTGTGAAATCCACCTTGACTCCCCCAGGCCACACCAGCTGGGACGATTTTCACTTTCGGTGCCGGAAAAGATATTTTGTAATTTGGTGGCTGTAGATAAGAAATATAGTGGGGCCTCCTCCCGCGAATTTGAAATCTCCCCTTTGTTAGGTTCATCTGGCAGTTGGAATCCCAGGCGGAGAATTTTCACTCTCTCTCTCTCTCCTGCCTGTTTCTTCCCTCGGCCTGTAGGTTCTGCCCACCCACGACCTGGGTTTGGTTTGCGGAGAAACTCAGTAAGGGAGGCCATTCCCACCTGCGCCGTTCAGATGAGGTTAAAATAAAAGACTTCCTCAAGCGTGTGTTTCTTCTGGGGACGAACCCAGCGCAGAAAGCCTGGGATTTGCAGGGAGCTTTGTTTTTGCGTCTTAACTGTTCGAGTCCACGAAGTGGTGGGTCTTCTTACAAGCGAACTACGTCCCTCAGCATCCAGGTTTTTATTTTTAATGACTGAGCAGAGAAAATATAAAAGTAGGAAAAGCTCTCCCTTTAGGAAAGAAATCAGTTTATAATTAAACGTAAATCATGATGTGATCTCCAATGACCTAAAAGCCTTTATTTAATCAGGTGGTATAAATTTGACTTGAATGCTTATAGGAAAACGGAATTTAGGACCTAGGAATCTCAATGAAGAGTCTGATTAACAAACTAATCCTATTGAAAGAGCAGTCCCAAGTAAAGTTAATTTGATTGAGTTCCATTCTTTTACCAGTCGTAATTTTATTTTGAGGCTGCATTTTCTAGTCATTCATTGTAAAATTAGAGAAATTTACTGCTGACAAATTGCTTTCTGTAGAGATTGTTTTACCAATTGGGATCATATAGGTATTTAAATAACATCAAGCTTTGTAAAACTTGTCTCTGTGCATAAAGTGGCAATGAAGGCAATGTTGGTTGCTTATTAATTGTACTTATCGTCATCATCTTAGATGTATTACACCTTAGAATAGACTTTTCCCACATAAATTCTTTGACTCATATTTGTTATAAACATTTAAATGTAACCTCAGGATTTGAAACTGCAATTCAATCTGTATGTCTCTTGTAACCAGTTACAAACAAGCTTGATGTAATTAAAGTGCTTCTGATATTTTCAAACCTTAAGTACATTCCTCCAATTTATTTTTAAAAAGAGCACAGAGACAATACTTTGTCAGTGGCTTACATTGCACAGGCAGGAAATAAAATTTAAAAAAATAACAGAGCTAATGGGAGAAATAGAGAAGAAATAAGGAATAGTGGAAGAGAGAGAAAGAGAAAAATAGGAGCCAGACCACCCGTGAGGTGTGGATCATGAAATCAAAAGATGTCCCTAAGAGATTGAACCCTTGCTTTCATTTATGCAAACCATGAGCTTTATCTTATCCCAAATATCTCAAACAAATACTGAAGCCCTTTCATGACCTGTCGTTATTTTCTGTATCTCTTCAAAGCTTGCAGGGTTCACCATGGAAACTCTACTGTGCTCAGCGGTGCCAACATCTTTACTATGAGTTAGGTAACTAAACAGAGGTCCAAATGACTGGAATCCAGCTCCTGGAACTTCTCTACTCCAGGATACTGGTTCATACACTTGCTAATCAGCAGCCTAATTTTTTCTTTACCAGAAGCTGGAAATTACAAAATGAAATATTTGAGTCTCCAACATCTTCCTCTTTATCTGCTTTATTCCCCTGTGCCTGAAAATGTTGAATACCCTAGGGGAAGAACGTTCTGGGAAGGTAAAATGTATTAAAAGGAAATCTGATCAAAAGATCATAGCATTGTCATAATTATATATAGAAGGAAATAGATACATTAAAAAGTAGATACAAGAATACATGGGAATTATATCACAAAATGAATGTTTCATACAGTAGGCAAAGCTGATTTTAAAAATTGTGATGTCACAACTAAATTTGCCCATGGACCAACAAAAAAACAAAGATAGACATTTACTTCTCAACCATGTAAGCTATCATTCCCAGATAGATTAGTGATTTAAATACGAAATATAAAATAACAACACATAGTTAAAATTAATAAGAAAATTCAGAAGAAAAAATATTGACATGGAAACTGTTGTATAAGCCATATTTGAGCAACAAAGTCTTAATAAAAATACACTTATGAATGCCTATGAAATTATAATAAAAATACAAACCAATTAAATGTACTCAAATGGGAAATTCACAGAAGAAAAAAAATCCAGATGAAAAGTAGAAATGAAAGAGTCTGAGCATGAGATGATGCGGAGGGAGTTACTTTGTTCTATAACTTCGTCGTTTTAATTGAAAACAGTGTCTTCAAGCCCTTAGAATTTTTATGAGTTGTCACAGTATTTTTGTGCTCTTACAAATTGTTTTCCAGTGGTCTTCTAAAATGTTTCTTCATACATTAAAATCATCTCAAAGAATGTAATTGCCAGACTGTGGTAAAATTTGATCATCAGAAGAACCCAATCATTCAATGAATTTTGTCCATTAAAACCTAATAATTCCACATTCATTAGAATCCTTTAAAAATGTACTTGGCATAGTTTTATTTAACAGTTGAAAAGGTTCATAAATGTTTTTCTCTTTTTCAAAGATATTTCTGTGCAATATCTGCCATAGAATTTTATCCTGATATGTCACATGTTTGCACTTAAAGGCAGTGACTGATTGCCCTATCATACCATTCTGGAACAGAAAAATACATAAAAATTGAGATACAACTTTTAGTTATTACCAACATTTCTCTGCATTTTAAGTGTTTTCCCTCCCCCCCCTCCATTTGAATTGTTTTTATTTATTTACTTATTAGAGGCATAAAACAACCATTTATTATGCTCCTGGATTCTGGGGGTCAGGAATTTGGACAGGGCATAGTGGGGCAATTTTTCTCTATTGAGAGCTGGGGGTGAGATGATCTGAAGGCTCTTCACTCACATGGCTGCTGGTGGATGCTGGCTTTAGGTTGGGGGCTTCAGCTCCTTTCCACATGGGCCTCTCCTTCTGGTCTCTCCCTGTGGGCTACCTTGGACTTCCTGACAGCATGGCAGCTGGGTTTCAAGAGTGAGTGTTCCAATGGGGAGAGAGGGTGGGCATAGAGTTCAGCAGAAGTTGTACCACCTTCATGACCTAGCCTCAGAAGCTTTGCAGATTAAGGAGGTAACCTGCTTTCCCCACTGCCAACTCTGCACTTGGCCTGTTTTTAGCTCAGCCCTTAGTGCTGAAGAGCATTACCCCTCTCACCACGTTCTGTCAGAAGTATAATCAGGGGGAAAATCAGTTTCCACTTCTCGATAGAAGCATCAACGTTCTGGTTGCAGCTGGATTCAGTTTCCTCCAACTCCATACCTCAGGACCCCGGTGGGCCCCTGGGTGAGTTGTTTTTAAACTGAACGGTAGTATGCAATTAATAAAAAGTAAATATACAATTTTTGGTGAGTACTAGTACAGCATATGAAAAGTAAAATTGTGTTACAAACATATCACTTAATGAAAGGGATGTGCCTTCTTCCCTTTCCCCCTTTCAGATCATGTGTTTGCCGATAAAAACTCGGTTGGGGTTGGAATGAGAAAGGTCCGCTTACAGAGCAAAACGATTAGCAGTTTGTGGAGAGGTAAGTATAATCGAATTAAAACTTACATGAAAGGTCCCACCGAGATTTGAACTCGGATCGCTGGATTCAGAGTCCAGAGTGCTGACCATTACACCATGGGGCCCGGCTGAGGGGGTTCCTTGGACACCGACTTATACCTCCCTGAAGCCCCCGATTTGTTTGACAAGTGGACGCACATTCTGCTTTTCTTCTCTGTAAATCGTAGGCGCTTACTTGGCATGCTTGCGACCACCATCCTTTACACCGGAGTCTTAATTTAAGGACACATCGACTTCCTAACGCCAGGATCCCCGCCCCTCAGGCTTTTCCTCTCAAGTGGTTCACTAAACAGAGGTCCAAATGACTGGAATCGTTTTCTCACTGGAAAACAAGTGAGGTCGTTGAACAAAACTGAGCCCTTACCGTATTTCTGGTGACAAGCATTTCTTATTGCCGCTTCATCTAAGACTCACTACTACCCTGTGAGATGGGGACATTATTTCTATTTCACAGGTGAGAAACCTGAGATCTTTCTCTCCGCTTCCTTTATATTGCTTTCACGAAAATCGTCTTTTACTAGGTTGGTATCTGGAGCTTTTGGGGACGCATATGGAAAGATTTTACCAAAGTCACAGGGGAGAAGAGGGTGTTTACGGAGAACTGAAACAAGAAGTTGGTACTTGGACGACGAGTCTGGAGAAGGACCCAGCAGCCCCGGGAGAGCAGCGCAGGGGGGTGAAGCGGGGCAGGAAGGAAGGCCCCTCGGGTGTTCCCCAGGACAGCGCGCAGCCCACGGCCCTCCTACCGCCCTTTCACCGTGGGAGATATGCGCAGGGGAGACTCCCAAGTGGATCCAGAGAAGATTCCCTGCCGTGCCTCGCATCTCTCTCGCGCACACACGCACGCTCACACACACGATCGGTTTTTGTGGTGGGTCTCTGTGGACGTTCTGAGTCGTGTCCTACCCCAGCGTGTTCATAAATTCCTCCTGCTGGCTTTTAGCTGACTGGGGCCGCGACGATATTCAGCACAACTTTAGGAGCAAGTGCTTCAGCAATTTCCCTAGTGGTACACGGGAGTCCAGCTCTGCTCCACGTACTTTACTCAGGATTCGACGCCTGACCAGCTAGAGCGGGCTTAGGGGAAACTGAACCTCACGTATGCGGATTGGGGCTGCCTGCCGGGGCTCCAGAATTCAAGCGCAGGAAGGCCGGAGGTGGCTTCAAGGGCTGCGCGCGCCCTCTTGTGGACGATGACGCGCAATCCCCTTCCCCAACACCGAAAGAACAAACAAAACCACAACCCGGTAACTCTCCCTGCAAATACCGGGCCGGCAAGAGTGCGGGGTTCCCTTTCAACAGAATTTTTTAGAGTGGCTGTCACTGGACAAAGTGTTTAAATTTGGTCTTTTCTGGAAAGCTGGGTTGGGAGTTGTCCTCCAGCCTAGAACAAGTCGAGGATGGTCAAGAACGGTTCCTTGTTTGCACAGAGGGGGTGGGAAACCCTCAGGGAAAAGAGGATAAACATCTCCGCTGGAGATTCCAAACTATCAAGCCCTGGTGGAGACAAGGAAAAGCTCCTTACAAAGGAGATGATTTCAAACCTACGCGGCGAAAGCCCCCTAGATTTCTTGTCCCTCGACATCACCAACCGGACACGAATACACTAGTTCAATCACACTTTCCCACGCCAGAGAGGCGTTGACCTTGCGGGGTTTCTGACAGATTAGCGAAAGTGCACCGGCTGCAGAACGGTGCCTGTGGCTTCAGCAGCGCTTCGGATTTAGCAGAGAAAACATCTTTGCTTCTCCAGGACCACATCCCAAAGCCTTCCTAGTCTCTCGGCCTCAGGCCCACTGTGATGCCAGAAGCAAGTGAAATCCTATTGACCAGGGGAAGAGTAAGTGCGGGCTTCAGAGGCTAATGTCTCCTTCCTGCACCCTCAGGAAAGAAACAGGAGCACCTTCAGCCTAAATCCGTCCTTACTGTACAGCCATCAAAAATCTTCAATTTAATCACAAACGTGTAGTTAGTGCCTTCCAGAGGCTAAGCCTGTGACAAGTGCTGGACTCCCTACAACCAATAAAAAGCGCAAATTAGGCACAGACTTCCAGGACCACTGGCCAAAAATGTAGTGAAAGGAGCCTTTCTTCCCTGAGGTGAATTCTCATCCAAAACGTGAAAACTTTAAGTTGCCCAATCACACACCTCCCTTCTTTAGCTCCTGACAGAACGGCCTCCTTAAGACAAAAAATCATAGATGAAAGTCACCTACAGGGAGACTTCTGCTTCAGTCTTGGGCAAAGACTTGTTCTTAGAATTGATGTAGACTTAGAATTAGTGAAGGAAAAAGAGTGAAAAGAAGTCTGGGAAGAAGCAGAGCAGAAAAATTTAGAACCAAAAATGGACATGAGTTACCCTGGGTTCTGAGATGATCAAACCTGATTGGTTTGATGCACTCAGCAAGTGTTTTTGAACTCCTAACATGAGCCAGGCATGGTGGGACTGAGGACTGAAAGGTGAACGAGACCACAGCACCACTACCTCCCCTAGGAGAACTTGCTGTCTGCAGTAGGAGGGACAGCTTATTAAACAAGCAATTAAAAAATGAGGTGGTATGGGAAGAGGATTTTAGTGTGGTGAGGAGATGCAGATAGGGCACCTAAGTCCAGATAAAGGGAG